ATTGCACCGCTATAGAAGATCCATTCCAAATACTTTTTACAGTTGTAGGTAGCAAAAGTATATAATTAATTTCCAAAGTAATTTGAACTGTAATTTCAAATTTTTCTAATAAAACTTATACCCTGATAAATGAACCAAAGAACACTCTAAAAGTTGAGGCAGTTAATACATAAATTTCAACAAATTGGAATCCTAAAATAAGTGAAGGAATTTTGTTTTAATTCTAGTTTTTATAAAAACATATTTTTTAATTGGCAGCAGGCTTCTAAGGCTTGGCGAGCTTTCAGAAATGACTAAAAAGGCTTGTCAACTAAAAGCCTTTTGAGTATTTTAATTAAAATTACTAGTAAAAAAAGAATAGAGGCAAACCAATTGTAACTACATCACATATATCAATAAGTCTGCAATCTAATGAATGCTTTGAGAGTGGATACAGCCTAATGAATGCTTTGAATGGATATAGCCAGAATGTGAATATGAAATATTTTGTCACAAGTAAAAATTAAAATATTTAAAGAATAAAAATTGAATTAGAAAAAAGGACAAATAAATTTCCACCTTAATAGATTGCATCCTTCAATCTGCATTTGGGAATAATGAGAATCACTGGCTTATCATATCTAGCCATGCTTTACATTAGTCATGTGTCTGTCAAGGGTTAAATCATTCAGCAGGACATAAATGATATAGAATAGGTATATATATATATAATCATATTCCTTTTTGGGTATCATGCAGAGATACACACAGCATGAACATCAGTGTTCATGTTCAAGGAGAGAAGGATTCTGAGTATATTAGTTTTAAGGTATTTTTGCTCAAGTTGAGAATACTGCAAAATCGGTCATGTAGCAAAATATTTACAAAATGGGAATGAGATCCTAAAACTTATCTGAGTCAAAGAATTTTCCTTATTCCCATGAAAGGAGATATTTATTCTGCTAATATGTCATAAAACTATAAAACTTTTAGATTTACCTGGAGAGATAAATATTTTATATCTAAGTTCCTAATGTCCAACTTTAATATAAATTATCATAATGAATTATAAAATCTATCAAACATACGTTCTTTACACAGTGCATATTATTTCATTTAAATGGGCATAATGTTTCAAAACACTTAAATTATATTTTATTCCCCCCATTAGAATGGATTTCTATCATATTTCATAATTACAATCAACATAGAATATATTCTTGAGTGTCATGGCTTTGAAAAAATAAACCAAGTCTCAACAAGTATATACATTTAAAAAATAGGGAGAGGTATAGGATCATTTGAGCTTTCACAGAAGTCAACCCAGGGTATTTTTCTTTTGCCCTCTTTTTCCCTATTAAGTATCCACTTAACAAGAGTTATTATCCTTCCAACATTCAGAGACAAAGCATTTCTATTTTCTCAGACTGCCTTCTCATCAAGTTTAACATCCTCAGCTTGTGTCCAGGTATTATTCAAGCCAAACCTGACTTTAAAATGCAAGAGAGCAGCCCTCACAGCTCATTTTAATCATGCTTTGATCTCTTGCCATGCAACTGTTTCATAAGGTCAAAATCCCTCAAAGCTTTGACCTGAATAGCTGTCAGAGTCACAGGCACACAGTGTTCTTTATATGTGAACAATCAGATGCCTTGTCCTCTCAGTCACAATTCCTATCCTTGCTTCAAAAATAACAAGTTTTAACTATTATGAGTTTTAAATTATTATCCAAACTTTGCTCATTTTTTTCACTATTCAAAAGGCTTTTTTAAAAAAAATCTAGATATAAAGTAATCATTAATGACAGATTTTTTCCCAATAAACATAAGGGGAAAATACACACAAGTGAGTTCTGTTCTTCAAAGTCACAACCTCATCCTAACATTCTTAGGATTACATAAATGTAATTTTGATCAAGTTCAATTTGACATTCACAAAAGAAAATCACTTTTTTTTTAACTGTAAATTATCACTTTTTTCTTCCCTGTCTTTATCTTCCTTTAATTCCTCTTTCCCTGGGCAGCTTCATTTCTATCTTCCTAGGAATTCAATAACCCCCAGCAAAGATATGTATTAGAAAAGATATGGATGGTATATTTTGGGGAAAATTCAGTGAAGAATTATGAAAAATAAAAGCTCCAACTTAGTGTTCTAGGAAACAACTTGTGTAGGTCTCTTTATCTGTTCCTGGTCTAGTATAGGAACATACGACTGTTTGAAAAAATAAAAATTATGGTGAACCACAAGCCTACAGACTTTCTAATCAGTATGACTTATATATTAAGATCACCTTTTCTCTTCTCTCAAAAATGATTTTATTTCTATTGCTTTGTTTTATTCTCATCATATCCCAGTGAACAAGCAGAACAGATACATGCTATAATGTCTGGTGAACATCATTTTGTGAAGAACTACACAAATCAAAGCTAGTACTGCTTTACTGCTGAATAAGAGGTTAAGTAAATTGCCTAGGTACTAGTCTCATAACTCATAGGCCATTAAAAATAAGGTTTCTAGTATTTTTCCACCAACTAGAATAACCAAATTAGTAACACATTGAAGAGATATATACAACCTTCATTGAAAAGTAGTACCATTCCAAGGGAATGAGTATATTTAAGTACTGCATCTCCAGGAAGGTCTCCCTTTTCCCATTTCAGCCAGCATTGTAAAAAACCAGAAGGCACAGGTTGATAAGTATGTCACCGCCTTTGTTAATCAGTGTTTATAAAAATGTCATATTTCACTATATAATCATCACATTAATGTATACTCAGAAGTATCCTGTGAATACTAATGTTGCACCAAAGACAGTTTAGCAAAAAATGATTTTTAAGTATTGCCAGCCCATTTTTTTTCTTCAAAAAAGCATGCACCTCACTTTTGGGGAAAAATGTTATAAAATCTGCTACAATTATGCAGTGAAATAAGGTATATATGCAGTCTGTATCAAAAGGCTTCTTAAAGGAGTATATTCATGGGTCCTTCCCGGGACCTACTGAGAATGAGATTTTCTGAGTCTAGGAATATGCATTTTATTCTGTTCCCCAGATGATTGTCATGCACACTTAAGCTTGAAAACAACTGAATATGGTGCAAGTGAACCAAATATGACCTACAATTTAGCAGTTACACTTCCATAAATATATCACTTGAATGAATGCATTTTAAAACAACTTTATCAAATAATGCCAATAGTTAACATAGATACTATCAATTTTATTGCAACAATAACCTATGGGATCAAGGAGTACATATTGCATCAAAATAATTGTTGAGTTAAAAGTTATAAATTTACTAATACCTCATGTATTTGTGACATAAATACCAGGGATATTGCAAATTTAAAAGTAGCCTTAGGCAGATCACACATAATAACAAAATATGACCTACAGTAAAATTACTATTCAATAAATTAATTTCTAAAATAAATCTATTAGATAACAAATGAATTTTTAAAAATATTTTTAGTTGTAGATGGACATAATACCTTTATTTTATTTAAGTTTTTTTTTTTTTTAATGTGGTGCTAAGTTTCGAACCTAGTGCCTCACAGATGCTAGGCAAGCACTCTACCACTGAGCTACAATTCCAGCCCTAAATGGATTTTTATTATTACTTAATTGCATGAGAAATTAGTGAAATAAAGTCTCGTATTTCTTTAATTTTTACATGAGTTTGGATTTAAAAGGAAAATTGAACAGGGAATGAAATCATATATGGCTGATTAATATTTATTATTGTATTTATGGAAGTTAACACCTCAAATTTCCTTTCTTCATCTTTCAATAAATGTTTCCTAAGTGTTACATATCAAATATCAAGTGTCAAAAAAACAAATTCCTTGTACCTGTCTCACAACAAAGGAGATATCTGCCTAAGATCTATTGAATGTGATCATTGTTTTAATAAGTGTTTATGCATAGCCTTGAGTTGTAAACAGTGATCAATTAACAAATGCCCTTGTAATACAAAATGATGTGACAGAATATATATAATGTCAATATTTTAAATGGCTACCTATTTTTCTACCATCTGATAATGAGACCAAAAAACAATCCCTGATTTTTAAATTACTAAAACTTCTAAAATAACTAACATACAACCACATTCCAGAACTGTAACTTTGTTATTTTCCTAAACTATAGCTTGTATTTTCCTAAACTATAGCCTATATGTAATTAAGCAACATTCATGATTTTATGAAATCAGCAGTCTGTGGCTGAAAACCCAATAATTAGACCATCATTTGCCCTCATAAAAGAAGCCTTCAGAGAAATTAAAGGACCTGTGCTATAGTCTTGTTCCTACAACTACATTTCCTTGTATAATTCACTTTTCTTCTCTGGTTTCATTTTTTTTTCCAAATGTAAAATGAGGTTAACTAATGGCATTCATGGTTCTAGGAATCTGTGATTCAGAGTCAACTGCTCTGTCATGCAGCTCCCTACTACTATTAAACTGGAGTATAGTAACTAATTTAATCAATCAGTGCTCATTCCCCTGCCTATGATTCTCCAATAACAAGTTAAGCTAGAAAGCCTGTTGTGTTTTTTTTTTGCTAAAATAAATCTATTAGATAACAAATGAAGTGAGAGAGAGAGAGAGAGAGAGAGAGAGAGAGAGAGAGAGAGAGAATGTGTTTGAGAGAGAGAGAGAGAGAGAGAGAGTTAGTTTTATACTGGGAATTGAAACCAGGGGTGCTTTTCCACTGAGCTACATCCGAGCTTTTTTTTATTTTTTTTATTTTGAGACACATCTCACTAAGTTTCTTAGGGCCTCATTAAGTTGCTGAGGGTGGCCTCAAAATTGCAATCCTTCTGCCTCAACCTCCCTGAGTCACTGGGATTACAGGTGCATGCCAGTGTGCATGGCAGAAGCCATGTTTTTTTTTAAATTCAATTTACCATTGGGCACAGAATTATCCTATGACATCCTTTGTAAGGTCATAGCATTATTCTCATAATGCAGGTTTCAAAATCTCCAGCATAATTCATAGTATGATAATTGGTATCACTTACCTGTGCTGAACTCTTTTCAAGTTTTTGGACTAAATTATCCCAATGCTGTGCAAAGTTTTCCATCCAGGCTTCCATCTTTTGTGTCACTGATTTATTTTTCAGTGTTGAAAGAAGATCTTGGTGGAGTGAACTGAGTTTGTCCATAGTTTGCTTTTTCTTTTCTAGATCTGTTTTTAAAACCTGTTAAAACCAGATCACAGAATAAGTCTTAGGTTCTAGGTAACATTTTATTAAAACACTATTGTTTCCATTTTTTATGCATTCACTCATTTCTATAGATGGGCAAAGACTGCAATCATTTCTGCAAATTATTGAACATCCATAAACATACACATAATAACTTCAAAAAATCTTTCAATAAAGGTTGAAGAGATTATAAAATAGAGACATTAGAATAAAGACTATGAAGAGGCACTTCAGAGCTAGAAGGACTGCCTAGTGATCAATTAGTAAAAGCTCTTCTAAAGTCAAAACAAGATCAACATGTGGAAACTGTCTTTTTTTTTTTTTTTTTTTGGTAGTAGGGATTGAACCCAAGGGTGCTTAACCACTGAGCACCACCACCAGCTCTTTTTATTTTTAATTTTGAGACAGGGTCTCATCATTTTGCTTAGATCCTAGCGAAGACTGACCACAAACGTGTGATTCTTCTGCTTCAGCCTCCTGAGCTACCGGAATTACAAAAGTGTACCACCACCCTAAGCTAGAAACTACTTTTTAACAATTGGGAGTGGGTGGCATTGCTCTTGGATGGTAGTGAATTTCCTCTGACAAAATTCTAACAAAAACTGACTATAAAGTGCCAGTAGTACTGGTGACTTGAGAAGATGAGAGTGTCTAAAGGGCTTTGCTTTCTGAAATGCTGTTTATTTGGAGAAAATTGCAATATTATTTATTTCTATAATTTCAATATTCCATTATTTATAAATAAAAACTTTCATGCAATTAACAGACCTTAAGCTTCCTTAGCATCTATTATTTAATTAAAGTTAGATTATGGGAATAATTATTTTCTAATGTTAATTTGAAGCTCATTAAGTAAAAAGAAAAACATGGAGTATGATCCACATCCCTCAGAAGCTATCTGCTTATTTTCTAAATACTTACATGTTTCATATAATATTTTTTTTAAAAAGATTGTAGTTGTAAATAGAGAGCATGTCTTTATTTTATTTATTTTTATTGGTGCTAGGGATTGAAACCAGTGCCTTACACATGCTAGGTAAGTACTCTGCCACTGAGCTGCAGCCTCAGCCCTTATAGAGTAATTTTTTATACCAATCATATTTCCAAAGTTTCTGTGGGCAATGAAGGTTCACAATTGCCTTTTGTTTGATTTGGAAATAATAAACAAAGTGACTTATGTGAAATCAGTAGATCATGGCAGCTTATTCTTTCACTTTATCTACCACTAAGGTCATTCTGCTCATAGGGAAATCCAATTTCCAAGTACCAAATGCTAGCCTGTGACTTAACTTATAAACACAGGAAAGAAATAGGGAGGAGGAAGAAAAATCATTTTATAGTCCTTTTACGACCCCATTCTTCTGGCAGTAGCAAGTACAATGAATATAAGCTAAACTTTGATATCTGACTTTTTAAAACAAATGCAAGCTTATTTAAGAACAACTAACATTACATATGGAAATAAAATAAATTATCATGAAACAGATGTACCAATTGCTCATGAACCAAAGTGTCATCCACATAGAGCAGTCAATACACCACCTGCAAAGTAGCTCATTTTAGCATGTTACTTACATGGATAGGTATGAACTATAAAATGTTCTGGTTTCATGTTCAAATAGTTCATCCTTTATTCAGAACTGGGTTTATCTGGCATATTTTATATCTCAGTTTTCTTGTCATTTTAAGGGGAGGGGAAGCAACTTTTAAAGTTCATTTGTAATATATTTCCTCAATAATTTCTCAGTTTGAAAAAAAATTGCAGAAAAATATTAATAGTTGGAGTTATATCTATAAAACTCTCAGAATGTTAGTGCAGTAGTATATAGATTTTTTATATTCATTTTGTTTAATTCACATGTTACCTTTCCATAAAATTTAAGTGCATACTTGTACTAGTAGTAAAACAACAGATTATACTACCTGAATAGAGCTGAGAGGCAAACTTGAATTTCAAACATATATTCCTCAGATTCCTTTATGGAGATTCATTATATTTTTTTATTTATTAACTTTTGGCATGCATTTATTTTGTGTGAACCACTGTGAGTTCTTTTTGGAAAGATGCATGACATAAATAAAGACATACATTTAAAAATAAAATAATGAAAGTACAATCCTCTTTTGCTTACTATCTCAGAGCTTAAAGAACCATTTAAATAGTCCTATGTGAAGGGCTAAAAGGTACATTCATTATTTAAGCTAAATATATAATGATTTGGAAACATTTCAAAAAAGGAATTTGTGAGTTGTTTCAAGAAAATTGTGTTGGAATTCTATGGGTAACCTTGTGCTATCTAAACAAATGAAACTAAGCCTCCTGTGTTAATATGAAATCAAATGAAGATGTATTTAGTGAAATTATAATATTGAAAGGCACCATTAAAACACAATGAGGAAAAGTACACTCAAGGTAAAATTAAAATAGCATTATAATGAAATTGTATAATTATTGAATACATTTTCATATAAATCAATATGACAAAACACTGGCTAAATAAAATTTCTATAGATGTAAATATTTTAAAATGATGATGGCAGATTGTTTGGTCTCAATATTTATCTTTTTTTCCACCTCCCTGGATGCTCTCCATAATCTCCAAGTTCCTAAAGGGACTCTCTCACAATAATTAGCAGAGGGAGGATAAGAAAAAAATCCATGGCTATGCCAGATAAACTGGATCATAGTAATGAATTACCTTCTCCTGTCTTTCTTTTAAGCTTGGATCTTATGTGAGACTATTAATTATGGTTTAACTGTTCCTAATAATTAGAGGATGTCATTTTGCATATCAAGAATTGATAATGGGTCTGTGAGTGCCAGAAACCCACATAGTTCTAAAAAGTCTAGGCAACAAAAGTAAACTTTAGAAAACTTATAACAGGTAAAGATCAGCTGGGATATTAAAAGAACATATATTTTATTTTCATAGAATCCATTCACTTGGACCTACCTCCAAGTAGGCTGGAAGCTATCATCAGTAAATTAGATTGGGTTGATAGTAGATATGGGGAAGACAGATACCCTATTAAATAAGTAGGAATAGAAGAGTTCTATCTTGTCAAGGTTAGAAGATGAATTGAAGTGGGAAAAACAAATATATACTTATAAAAGGCCCAGGAAACCTTCACCCTATTATCATATGGAGTATGCCTTAGAGAATAATGCCAAGATAATATTTACTACACTAGAAAAATGAATTTTATCAGCTCAATCTGTAATTACTTATCTAAATGGAAGAAGTACTTCACTTTGCTCTAATCACCAGTTATTGAACTTAAGTAGATTAGTCTTATTTAGGGTTTCTCAAGTTAAGAGAACGTTAGAATCGCCCAAAAGATGTTAAAATGCAGATTGCTAGGTGCTACCTCTAATGTTTCTATGTCAGCAAGCTTGGAATAAGCCCACAAATTTGCATTTCTCTTATTATTTGTTCTAATACGTGACAGCAGAATGCATTTCAATTCATTGCACATAAATGGAGCACAACTTTTCATTTCTCTAGTTGTACACAATGTAGAGTCACACCATTTGTGCAATGGTACCTGTACCTAGGGTAATGATGCCCATCTCGTACCATCATCTTTCCTACCTTCGTGCCTCCTCCCCTTCTCTCAATACCCTCTGTCCAATTCAAAGTTCTTCCATTCTTCCTTTACCCTCCCCCGTTAGGGATCAGCATCCACTGATCAGAGAAAACATTTGGCCTTTGGTTTTTTGGGATTGGCTTACTTTGCTTAGCATAATATTCTCAAACTCCATCCATTTACCTGAAAAGGCCATAAATTTATTCTCTTTTAATGCTGAGTAATAGTCCATTGTGTATACATATCAGTTTCCTTATCCAATCATCCATTGAAGGGTATCTAGGTTGGTTCCATAGCTTAGCTATTGTAAATTAAGCTGCCATAAACATTGAACTGGCTGTGTCATTGTAATATGCTGATTTTGAGTCCTTTGGTTACAGACAGAAGAGTGGGGTAGCTGGATCAGATGGTGGTTCCATTCCAAGTTTTCTGAGGAATCTCCATACTGCTTTCCAGAGTGTTTGCACCAATTTGTAGTCCCACCAGCAATGCACCTTTTCTTCCACATCCTTACCAACACTTATCAGTGCTTGTATTCTTAAAAACTGCCATTCTGACTGTAGTGAGATGAAATCAGTGTTGATTTGCATTTCTTTTATTGCTGGAGATGTTGAACGTATTTTCATATATTTTTTGATCATCTGTATATCGCCTGAAAAGCATCTGTTCAGTTCCTTAGACCATTTATTAATTGGGTGGTTTGTTTTTGTGGTGATAAGTTTTTTGAAATCTTTATATATCCTGGAGATAAGTGCTGTATCTGATGTGCTTGTGGTAAAGATTTTCTCCCACTCTGTATGCTTTCTCTTTATATTCTTGATTGCTTCCTTTGCTAATAAGCAGCTTTTTAGTTTGAACCCATCCCATTTATTGATTCTTGACATTTTAGGTGTCATGTTAAGGAAGTAAGGACCTAATCCAATATGAAGATTTGGGCCTATTTTGTCTTCTATTAGGCACAGGATCTCTGGTCTAATTCCTAGGACCTTGATCCACTGAGTTGAGTTTTGTGCATGGTGAGATATAGGGATTTAATTTTATTTTGCTGCATATGGATTTCTAATTTTTCCCAGCACTAATGTATATTTTTAGCACGTTTGTGTAGTTTGAGATAATTATATTTATGTGGGTTTGTCTCTCTTCTATTCTCCCATGCCATTTTTGTTACTATAGCACTATGTTATAGTGCAAGATCTGGTATTGTGATGCCTTCTGCTTCACTCTTCTTGCTAAGGATGGCTCTGGATATTCTGATCTTTTATTTTTCCAAATGAATTTAAAGATTGCTTTTTCTATTTTATGAGGAATGTTGTTGGGATTTTAATTGGAATTGCATTAAATCTGTATAACACTTTTGGTAGTATGGTCATTTTGACTATTTATCCTTCCTATCCAAGAAAATAGGA